ATTATAATATTCTAGCTTCTTAATACTATTTTAATATAAGTTTATTAAAATATCAATACTATTTCTACTAATAAATAAAATTTAAATAATTTTTATTCTAAAAATTTATTATTTTTTTATTTAATATTTTTTAAATAGTTTTTTTAAAAATATATTATAAATTATAGAGTTATTTCTTTCTCTACTATAAATTAATTTAAAAAATAAAAATAAACCTTTTTTAAATTTAATTTTTTTTTTAATTTTTTTAAAAAATAATATGAATATAATTTAATATCTAGACTAATTTAGTATATTTTTAAAATTATTATATTTAATCCAGAGAATCTAAAATTATTTATTAAAGTTTTTAAAATATTCTAAATAATTAATAGTAGCTTTAATCTTATAAATAATTTTTTAAATTAAATATTAATTTTAATCAGAAATAATAAATTAGTTTATTTTTTATTTAATAATATTTTAGTAAAAGATATATTATGTTTCTTAGATAATTTTAAAAAAAAAATAAATTAAAATTATTAAAAATTACTATTTTAATAGAATAAAATAAAAAACTATAGATTAAATAAAATAAAATATTATTATGATTTCAGAGATAAACTAATTTTTAAAAATTTTTATTTCTAAAAAAAACAGTCAGTCTATTTTATATACTATAGAATAATAAAAAAAATATTACTATAAAAAAGAGAAAATATTAAACTGATATAATAAAACAGACCGAACCCTTGATAAATCAGCAGTACTGATAGAGTTGGTGTACTAGGCACCTGCAGGTATAGTACAATAATAATTAAATTTTAACAATTTTAAAAATATTTTATTTTATTAATTAAAAATGAATTAATAAAAACATATAATTTTCTAGTTTTGAATAATTATAGTAATTATTTAATTTTTAAATTTAATTAAGATTATATTAAAAATAAAATTATTTTTATTTATATATTTATTCATTTATTATATTTATTTTAATTTTTTAATATTAATTATTTTAATTTATTTAAATAAATATATTATAATCAGAATTATATTAATAAACATAATTTTTTAAAATTTTATTTTAAAATATATTATTAAATATTTTAATTTATAAATATCTTTATAGTATAATAATTATTTTATTATTAGTTATAAATATATATATTATTTTAAACTATTTAATAATTAATTATATTGTAATTTAGATACAGAATTATATTAATTAAAAAATTTTAATTTTATTATTTCAGGTGGTTCTAGCAGAGGGGTGGGCCGTGTGATTATACAGGCTGTGTGATTTTGGATTATGTTAATATAATTTTTACTTAGATACAAAATTTTTATAAGTTTAAAAAAAAATTAAAATCTAAATAATTTTATAATAATTAATAAATCTTCATTATCTTACTGTACTATAATTAAAGTATTATATTATTAAAAATTTATAAATTTATACAGCAAAATATTTTAAATAAATCTATAATATTCCCTGTATGACTGGTGTTTTATTGCCCAAGGTATAAATTGCAGGCAGTGAATGGCAGTGAATATCTTCTTATATACCATGCCTAGACTTGATACTTGATTCCCTTAGTTAATTGAATCTTGTTAAGCTTTTGACCTACTAGGAATAAGGCGAGATTAGAGTGGATTAACCTGACTGTTATACCTTAACCTTAACCTGACTATAATCTGGCAGTCAGGTTAAGGTACAAAAAATTTTTAACTGTATAGTTATAATCAGGTTAAGATATAACTATTACTTTAACTGTTTATATCTACTAATCAGAAAGATTAAATATAACAGATAGATTAATAACTACAGATTAATTAGTAATATATATATCTTTATTATATAAATAATATATAAAATATAATATATTTTTAATTATAGTATAATAATATTCTCTAGATTTAGTTTATTTA